ATTATATATATCCTTAAAGTATTCCGCAGCAAAATAAAATACTTATTAGCCATAATTTAAACAAAATGCAGAAGTGATGATAGTAGTAGTGATAAAAATATGGAACTTATTAAACTCGCCTGAGAATAAAATCGTTTTCTAACACAAAGCTAATTTAATAATTGTCCAAAACATCTGCCCTATATAAACATTTTCATAAATTTGATATTACCTATATGCACAGTTCGTAATATTTACAAAATAATAATGTTGTTTCGAATACCATTAGAGCTACGAATTAATCTATAAAAAAAATAAAATTAAATAGTAACGTATAATGACTGGACGTGAAAAAAATTTCACATTAATACACTTCGGGCACAAAACTATTTCTAATTGTATATGACCTACACAGCTTCTTACAAGATGATTCATGAGATTCAACGATTATCCAAATAGTTTCTATCTACTTATAACATAATTAGCACATTAATGTTTTAAAGAATTTTTTGCTGGGCTAATTTAAAGCTTTCAAGTATCAAGTCCAACTTCTGTTTTTATCTCTATCATCCGAAACTTTTAAAACAACATAATTTTCATTTTTTAGAAAAAAAATTATATAGTTTTAGAGGAAAGTGGTACTTAACACCTTTAAATAAAATATTAAAGAATATGAGTTACTATATATGCCGAATTATTTTTAAAAGGCACAAATATATTTGGTCACTGGAAACGGAAAGGAAAATTTTTCTTAGCAAGTCAGTTTTGGAAAACAGTGCGTTGTGAAGTGTATAAAAAGTCTGATGGTCAGATACAAAAAGAATTTGTTAATTTCACCTAAAACTATTTAACCAGAATGAATATTTGCTGTATAATTGCGTCTTTATTCGTACCAGGTACTGTGTACAGGACATTTCAATTATTCTTTCCAGCAAAGTCTCTAGATCTATTGCAGCAAGAAAAAAAAAAATAAAACCCGATTTTAAATTGATATTATGATATAAAAATAAGACTATTTAAACAAAAACATAGCATATTTAAGTTACAAGTGAACGAGATTAAGCTTCGCTGTTAAAAATTAAACAATCTAAACTGCATGATAATCGTTATTTCTAACTTTTCCTTTCAAGTAAGTGAGGTAGAAAAGTAGGGATAGGATAAATGAAACGTCTTGTACAGACACAAGTACAGTCTAAGTCACGTCCCATGGCATGGCGAGGCACTCAGGAAGGAAACAAGCAGCCAGTGGAGGGTAAGTACGTGTCTAATCACAGTCACCTGATCTTGCGCCTGTTATCACAGCATTAAGTGCACAAGCGACTCCTTTCGTTCAACGTCTTTCTTAGAGAGAGCTATTTCTGTATTTGTACAAGTCACAAATTTTGGAGTGCTTAATACACACGGAATTTGGCGCAATGGCTCGAAGCAGGGTGAGATCAGGTGACTGACGAGGTCAGCAAGCTGATGTCTCTTCTCCTTCTAAAGTGCAAGCGACATTGTTTAATTTATGCGTCAAATGCAAACGACGACAATTTACATCTGTATTTAACGATTCCGTTATCTGAAAAATTAATATGATTACAAAAAAAGAACCAAAACCTAAAAATAGACATGCTTACATGCTTTTATTTACTAAAGAGCACTTCTTTTTTCAACTTGCAGTTTCCCAAATCTTCAGAATCATCTCAGTAAAGATGAAAATTGTGCCAAAATATGTGTTTATTAACTCAGATTTGCGTAACTGATCACTATACTCGCGAACAATTTGTTGCATTGACAAGACGCAAATTTCGATAAGTTTTAGAACGGCTTAATTCACGTTTCTTTCCAAACAATAATTATAATTCGAATAAAACAAGTGCTCAGGGGGATATTTTGAAATAAGACACACCACCAAAGGCAAACCAAGCAAACCGTTGAAAATGGTAGAAAATACTATGGGCAAACCAAGAACAAATAAAGCAACATTTTTAGAAGACATAAGAGAAGCAACGTTGAATCTAACATAGCAAAAGAGCAAACACCGTTTAACGACCTACAGGGTACTTAATGCCAAATAAAGAAGACGACTGTTACACAGGCAGACAGAGAACATAATATTGTGTGCAATGTAGATTCTGCAGTGTGGCATTTTCATAAATAGGTATATACGCATATACATGTACATATGAGTGCAGCAGTAAAAAGCATTGGTTTTAGATACACAGGTACTTAAAAAATTTTAATTTACTTTAATAAAATAGGTGAAGACTCACCTGTTCACGATACTTGGTGACGTAAATGTAGAGTTCCTTCAATGCAGCAACGGTGTCAAATTCATCCGCTTGTTGGGCAGATAACTGTTGCATAGCAGAACCCATTTCCTGATCAGTTATTACAGGCAACATTGCGACGTCATAATAAAATTGGGAGACCATATCACGATAGCGTGGAATATCCTAATTAAATACACAGAAATTAGTTCAAGAACAAAAAACTTCAATATACAGTGATTTACTTTTGCAAAGAGTAATTTGTTTGACGGCGAATCCTTTCCTAAACGGTGCTCTGTAGTAGAGCATGCATCCATGAAGGTTTGCGCAATAACCGAGAGACAGGAGTCCAAAGTAGCTGTTTTATTAATGTCGAAAATAAAGTCCGGATTTTTTATAAAGTTCACCCAAAATCGAAGAGGGAGGCTATTTGATTTCCAAGCATGGACAACTTCGGGGTCTTGGATGCCGTGCTTCTTAGCTGCATCATCCAATAAGTCGAACAACCATTTAATAGCAGGAGGAAGAGCGTCATTCACCGTGAGAATGTTAAGAAAAAAATCGTCCACGAATTTTTGTATCGTCCCTTTTGTTGATAACAATCTCGTTAAGAATATTTCTGGGATAGCTTTATGTGTCCGTTCGGCTGTTTTACTGGAGTATTGGTGATCATCAACAGGTTTAACCAAATGATAAATCTTGGGGTGATTTATGCCTATTTCAATGTCACCGTTTACAGTAATGATGGGATTTTGTAAATTGTTGAAGTACATTCCAGCTGTGCCTAAAATAACTACCATGTTTCGCTGTTAAAGAGATAAATAAATTAAGCATAGACATAACTTACAATTATGGCACGATTGCTTGCAATTGTTGAAACTATCGTTCTGTCGCGAAATTAACGACATTACTGCACTCTCTTTGACTCCATAATGAGCCAAAGTATTCAACTTTTTCCAACCATTTATTGTTTTTGTCGTAAGATCTTCGTCTTGTAACGTTAAATGACCTCCTCTGCCATGTCTCCATTCTTAAAAAACAAAATTTTAGTAACATTCGTTAAGTTAGCGTTTTAGAACATATATTCTAAGAAAACATACCTAAGTCTACTTCATAAATAGACGGTCTCATCGAAAACGGAGTATTTTTAAACAGAGCATCTAAAATTTTTGACTTAACTTGGCTTATAGTATCACAATCTAGGACTTTACACTGGATTTTCTCATCGAGATCTTCTTGAACTATATGTAGAGTCTAAAATATATATTTTAAAACAAAGATAGTAACAGCAATTTAAAAGAAAAACATACCACCACACTGTGCTCTATTTGTTCCTTTAATAGTCGTTCTTCAGAAAGAGAATACCTCGCATCATGTGTGATTGCATCCACAAGACCCTTTTCAATTTGGTGTTTAATTGCTTTGAATAGTAAGAACAAAGACGAACCAGCGTACTCTTTTAAATAAGAATACATACAAAGGGCCATCCAATTAGTTAACATTTTTTCTACAACACTCTCGGTTCTCCGCAACATTAACTGTGGATGTTTTGTATTAACCGATTTTTCTATTAATCGAAGTAAAAGGCATTTTAAAATATCTGTAGCATATTCCATTTTACCCATTAAAACAACCATTAGCAGGGACGCCACGTTTACCCTAAGATTAAAATTAATTTATGAATCAAGAAACAAAAAACAATTCTTATAAGTGTTTTAAATAATAACTAACAACTTACTTATCCCGAATATTAAATGATTTTTGAGCTTCTAAAGTCTCTATAAAACAAAGAAGAAAATGTTTGGTGTTTATAAGTTGTTCAAACTGCAGCATTGCTGCATCGTAGTTTGTTCTGGGACCATTAATTCGAACCTAGAACAAATTTTTAAATAAATAAGTACTATATTCCTTTATTTAAATGATCATTACCTTCGGAGCGTTCAGTATAGGGTGATCACTAACACCGGGAAAGAAGACCTTCATAATATAACTCATATGATCAAGGGTAGGTATACCGGAATTTTCTAAATCTGCTGTTAAATCTGTCATATCTGTTTGTAATTCTGCAAATGCTGGAAAAAACAAAAAAATAATGAGTAACTATTACGAATGATTAAAAAACCGTAATTATTGTTTTTACAATTACCTTGTTTACATTCAGAGCGCACGTTACTTTCTAAGGTATCCATTTGAATTTGGATACGTTTATATTCACGTTCAGCTTGTGTAGATTTTCGTCTGTAAATAACAAGTACAGCCAGAAAAAATACAACAAATAAGAATATTCCGGCTGCTATCATTGCTATAGCTTCTGGTGGGAAAGTGAACGGTTTTAATAAGTCGTATCTTAAATAACCGATGGGAAAGCGAAGGTTTCTTCCAACTCTGACAACAACTAGCGGAAGACTCTTATCAGTCTAAAAAAGTACAAGTACATAGTTACACCTTTTTGCAGCCAAACTTACTATAAAAACGGTAACGTTAGAAACGCATTTTACTCACTTTAACGCCATTTTCATCTAGATCTTCTGGCTGCTGTTCTGGAGGAGAACAGACAAGTTGTGTTAAAGCCAAACTGGTGACATTGCAGGGTTTTCTTCCTATTGTAACGACAACATCTGTCTCATCGCTGGCTACGTTCAAATTTTCTCCTTCTATTACCAAAGTATCCCCTTTATAAAGCTTTACCTGGTTCGGGAATTCGAAAAATTTCGGATCTTCCACGAACAACAACTGAGAACGTAAATTAGGAAAATGTTTTTCTAAATCACGTACTGTTACAACGTCGTCCATAACAAATTCTATACGAAGATTAAGTTCTAAAGTTTTTGCAACCGAATTTTTTCTAGGTACAGAACGCGGAATTCGAGTGCTTGCCAACAAAAATTGACGATTAACTGCTGGACTAGGACATTCCATCTGGGTCGAACTAAGGACGGTACAAACAGTTTTGTTCACTGGCACAGGATCGTTGAAATAATAAACTTCCATTTCTGGTTTCTGGATACTGTTGAGATTACTTCCATGGACGAAGATCATACGACCACCAGAAACGAAACTTTTTAATGGTTTTATTTCCATTATTGTGGGATCTTGTGTGTAATTAAAAGGGTTTCCCTCAAGTGTTCGATTTGCTCCATCTATACTCAATGTAAGCCGCGCTATGTTTGTCGGTTTTGAAGCACGAGATGTTACACAAGTTAATCTACTACTTGACGCTTGCGTTAAATTTACACGACAAGCATAATTGTCGAGGTAAGCCACTATAACAGTGCCGATATTCAAGTATTGACCAGTAATTGCCAACTGTGTACCTCCCGACTGAGGTCCAATCCGAGGGTACACGTTTATCAACCGAATATCCTTGTAGCTGAATTCTACTGCAGACTCGGTGTATCCTGCTTCATTCCCCACTATTACCGGTGCAGTCATTTCTGTAAGGGACGATCCTGTTATGCATTGAATTTTGACAGAAACCTCGTAAGTTACAAGTTCACACGGCACTTTTCCTATTTTTATTTTTCCCATTACATCTTCTTTCCTCAAACCTAAATTACTGCCTTCAATAGTAACTAATGTGCCACCTTCTATTGGACCACTTAATGGCTTAATCTAAGAAAATACACAATTAGCATTAAAATGGTAAAATTATATTATTATTATTATTATTATGGAGAAAAATTACGTTACTTACAACATCTATTCTTGGTTTAGGACATTCTGGATGAGATACAAATTGGCATGTTTCGTTGTAGCTGCAAGTGTTTCCACACCAAGTGCACTGATATTTAGAATTTCTCGTGACGCACAAAGAACAGTCAGAACCTGTAGTAGAGCATGCATCCATG